TGGCCAAACCCTATTCGGCGCCTTAAACGCCCGAATTAGGTGTTTCCGCAAATGGGCGCATACCCCTCCCTGCGTGATGGGCCGGCCCATTTATCCTATTATTCTGTTTCAGAACTGCAAAAAACTGCCGCCGGCGACACTCGAACTAGCACGCTCTGCCTTTTACCTTAGCTACGCTAGCCAACTTCGCAACTACCTTGCTATGATTCGTGAGATCCTTTTTCTTTTATTGTATCTACTTTTATTTTTCTTTTATTTTTTATTTCCCCGTTTCCTTTTTCTTATTCTTTTTCCAAAATGCATGATTTAAAAAAAACAGTGAACTATTTTATTCAAAATCCTCGATGAATGTTTTTTAAAATTCAATGAACTTTTTTCGTGAACTTTCTAATTCGTAAACTCGATGAACTTTTTTTAAAGTTCAATTAAGTTTTTTCAACTTTGATGAACTTTTTTCAAATTCGGTGAACTTTTATTCGATGAACATTTTTGAATTTCGTTGAACTTTTTTTAAAATTCAATGAACTTTTTCGTGAACTTTCTAATTTGTAAAATCGATGAACTTTTTATAAAATCCAATTAACTTTTTTCAACTTTGATGAACTTTTTTCAAATTCGGTGAACTTTTATTCGATGAACGTTTTTGAATTTTGATGAACTTTTTTGAATTTCAATGAACATTTTTGAATTTCAATGAACTTTTTTGAACTGTGGTGAACTTTTTTTCAAGTCCGATGAGCTCTTTCAAACTTCATGAACTATTTTTTCAAATTCGATGAACTATTTTTAAACTCGATGAACTTTTTCAAATTCGATGACATTTTTTCCTATTCGATGAACTGTTTTTAAATTTTTTACTGTTCTGAATCAATGAACTTTTTACAAATTTCTGTACCTTTCTGAATTCAAGAACCGGAGGCCATTTTTTTTCCTGAACCAACAAAACAATAAAGAAAAAAAAACCGAGCTGAGTTGATCGAGCGAACGAACAGAAGCTAAAAGGAAACGAAGCGAGGGAGCGATCTTATTATGGGCCGGCCCATGAAGGCGCCTGCCTGGGCGCCGCTTGCTCCAAGTGGCGCTTAAGGCGCTGTCGAGGAGGTCTCGTAAACATGCCGATGGGCCGTCCTATTTCCTTGTTGTGCCCTGACACGGCACGTGTGTATTAGGCCTGCCCCGTTTAGGCCAGGCCCTGCCGGCCCATCTGGCCAGGTCTGAACCGGAGAATATTCAATTACGGACCCCTCAAATCAAAACCCAAACATAAAACCCTGTCTCGTCGCGCTCTGACCGACCGTCATACCGCCTACCATGGCCTCCCCCTCGCCGTCCCCGCCCCGCCGCACACCCACCACCGGCGGGAGGCAGTCCCCCTTCTTCCGCGACCTCGCCCGTGCCATCCCTTCCCACCGGACCTCCGGGTCCCTCGACCCCTCATCCACGCCGCCGCCGCCGCCGCCGCCGCCGCCGCCGCCGCCGCCCCTTTTCACCCTCGACGACCGCCTATACGCACAGGATTTCTCCCCTGATCGATCCGCCTCCAACCTCCTCCCCGTCGCTCCATCCCCATCCCCACCCACGCGCGCTTCCTCCGCCAGCCGCCCGCCCTCATGGGACCGGTCCCGCGGCATCCCCCCCGGTCCGTGCTCGCTGGGTGACTGGCTCGTGGAGCCGGCCCGTAAAGAGGTCCTCGCGCTGCCCCCGCCATCGCCGCCTCCTACTCGTGCGGCGAACGAGGAGGTGCGATCGCCGGTGATCCCGTTGCCTGCGCCGCCCAGGACGGCTCCATCAGCGAGCGTCACGGGGGCCGACGGGGAGGAGTGGGTCACCGTGTTCGGGTAAGTGGAGGGTGTGTGACGCTTCACGAGATGAACTAAACAGCCATGAAAGTTTGATAGTGGTATGTAATTTTTCGCTTCGTTTGCAGATTCACCGCGAGGGAGACCAACCTTGTTCTGCGAGAGTTTGGGAAGTGCGGAGTGATACTGAGACACTGCTCTGGCCCAAGAGATGGTAATTGGCTTCACATATTGTATCAGGTAGCCCCTTTTCACTGGCTCTCTGCTACTGTCGCGAGCTGCCTGTCTTTGTTCATAACTCATAAGTCAACCTTTCGTAACTGCATCGACCATAAAAGGTTATGGTTAATTGATTCAAAGGCTAATCATCTTTCTAGCCTTTATTTTTCGTCTTAAGATGCTCTGGGCATGCTTGGTTTGATGCCAAAACACCGGCTAGCCAATTTTTGGTAGCAGACCAATCATGCCCCAATATTGCAGTGTCCTATCAATTTCAGTTAGTACAATATGGTTTTTGGTCTACTTAGTCACATCTTTAGACATGAATGTAGTACTAAACTTACGAGAGTCAGGCTGTTTTACTTGGATCACTAAGCATGTATAATAATCATGATACAATATCTTATAGTCTTTCCTTTCCTTTCTGAAAAGCAGCGGTTTATTTCTAGACGGAAAAAAATCATAAAACAGCAGCAAATAGTTATAATAAGTTCAAAAAGCTCTTCCCTCGCTGAGAGTTTTGTACCATTGGCGTTATTTAGAAAATTAAATGAATACATTCCTAGACTTTTCTGTATATCTTTCTCTTCATTCTCTGCGGTTACTTTGGAACATTTACTTGATTAGGAACCAATGCAGCCATACTTCTATGTAGATTTTCTTGTGGCTGTTCTGTTTTTTTCTAGTACCTACAGAACATCTTAACATTTTTCTCGCTGTCGACTAATATATTGTTTTTGCTCGTGAAGCACCAATACGATGCTCGAAGGGCCCTTGAAAAGAATGGAATCCAGCTGTTTAGTGGCGTTGCAATTGGGGTTAAAATTACTGATCCAGCGCAGCTGCAAATGGATGAGAAGATGAGTGAGAGCAATTATAAAGGTTTCATGGTTTCCTTGCCTTCGAAATCATCTATCCAGAATGCAGGGGCATCAAGCAATTTAGGAGATCTCCCACGTCCCTATGACCCAAAAGCTGGCAGAAATATTAACAGAGACATGGGTTGTTCAACAGGAAGTGTTGCCATGCCAGCAAAATCAGTATTGGTGAAAACTATGGACTTGATTTTTGGCATTTGATATGCAGTGCTGGAGATTTTACAATCTTTTTCCTTCCTTGCTCGTCACTTCTGTGGAGTAATTTTTTATCACTGCATGTGCTGATCTGCGAGTTCCTTATTTCTAGTGTCCGAAGATGTTGTTTTTCACTGCAGATGGAGTAGTTCTTTTCCCCAGCATCTGCGCATATCCATTCATGGGTTTGGTTGTGTAGCATTTGCAATGTGAAACGTTTGCGCTGGCTATGTAAATGTTGGATTGGCTATGTAATACCTTTCTAAAGTGGCGAAGTGTAAAAGGGTCTTGATTATACATGGTGTTCTACTCAGACCAGAAATGATGGCCAGTCATTTTTTATTGCTTCATGCTGTTTTATTCGTTCTGCTGAACAAGATAGCAAAGTTAGCACTTGCTTTTGGTTCATGCAGTTATTCTGTGTCATCACATTACTACTCAATCCAAAATTCCAATTTATGTACATGTCCTTGGACCAGTTTGCGCTGTCCAAATTTCTGTGTTTTCTGCAACATTATATGTTGTCCAAATTTAAACTACCTGTTCTAGATTTCATGAATTTGTAATCCGGAAAGAGAAATTCTTTACACATGTCAAATATAGCAGTGCACGCTTTTTATGCAGCTACTTATTTTATAGTAGTATGATCAATGGTGATATCATAAATTCATGGTTCCTTGGTATGAATAATCATTTTGGTACACATATATTTATGAATATGTAAACAATTTCTTTGGTAGCTCTCACAATTAATAGGTGGCGTGGATAATCAAATGTCATGGGACCTTATGTCAGTAAATGTTGCTCGTAATATGTCACATGTACTATTGAAAAGTGTACATAAATACCTCACCAATCTCATGTCTTGTCCTCTGGCTCCTTGGTGTCATCTGGGAGCGTCGAAGCTTATGTTCCAAGGACCTGGCCAGACCTGGGGTTGTCGTCCAACTCTCTTCATTGCCTGCTTCTCCGGAGTGGCGATTTGTTTTCCAGATTGTTATCATCGGCATCTTCCAACTCTGACTAGCGACCTCTCGGCTGTTGCGTCAACAATGTTTTTCTGGCTTCGATATCGGAGATCCATAGAAGGCGTCGAGCCTCGCTCACGATGCGCCGCCGGAGAGTGCATGAGGAAGACAACGCCAATTTTCTCAAAAACCGGTGTGTAATTTGTTTTTTTTAAGGATGGCCTTGTAGGGTTGATTGACTTCAATATATGGCCTTTTGCCGTTTTGATCTTTTATATTAATAAAGCATACATATTTCTGTCAACACATAGGCTACCGAGAATACTCAATGGAGGCGTTACCTCCCTAAAAACCCTAGCAACCAAGCACTCCCCATGTGCATCGCTGATCTCCCCTTGGGGGGGGGGTGCGGATCTGGTGGTAGTAGTAGTTTGGGACTCTTCCCCGTAGTTAGGGTCACAGAGTCACTGACATTTTCCATCATGGCTGCAGCGGTGGCAGCGCTATATGTATTGGTCGAGACGACGAGGGGGTGGTGATGTCAATAATGTCCTATGTACCTACTTCGATGAATCTGTTTGGGTTCGATCAACTTTGGTTTCCGGCGGATCTCTTTGGACCAGGTCGACGTTGGTCTGTGGTAGATCCATCTGGATTTGGACGTCACTCGTGGTTGTTGGTTGTTTGCAGGTGCGACTTTTTCGAATTACCTTTTTCTTCGCTAGCGACGGTTGCTGCTCTGGTGTGCTGGCTGTTTGTGGTCTTAGCACGATGACTTCTTGACTGTCAACTACAACAATGTTTGCCCACTTCAATGAGGCAGGGGTGATGATGGTGACGCGCTTTCACTTTGCTTTTGTAGTCATCGCTATGTGATCCATGGACCTGGTTGCAATCTTTTTTACTTTTATGGATGTGTGTATTTGCTGTCATATGATAAATCAGATTTCACGAAAAAAGAGAGGAAAGACCATTAACGGTCAGATTTCAATTTTGTTGGAAAGCATGTGCGAAGGAGCATTTCGGAGTAAGCATCCCCTGTCATATAAGGCCTCCATTGGTTTGGAGGAATTTTATAAAAAATTTATAGAATAGAATTTTTGTAGGAATTTTGCCTTTAGAGGCCTTTGGTTCGTAGGAATGTATTCCTATCTCTAGATAAGATTGGTTCCAATCCATTCCATTTCAAAGGAAAATAAAGATTAACATGAAAACAATGAAAAAATTCTTATGATGTGAACTAAACGACATCTATTTTTTCTATTCCTATTAATAGAATTTGAGATACAAGTCATCTTATTCCCATAAGTTTCCTATTTATATGATAATTCTATCCTATGAACGAAAAGAGGCCTAAGCGCAATTCAAGGTCTACGTATCCATGCGGTCAATGCGGCAGGAAACATAGTTTTTGTTGTTATTGATAACGACAGCAGATGAGAGTTTGTTCAGATGGCATATCCGGGGACACGTTGCTCCGGTCTGATTCTTTTAACGGTAATGGTTTTGCTTCAAGCAAACTATTTTGGAGGTATGTAAAGCTGCTGATTAGCGATGGAGCCGCGTCGAGCTTGGGTGAAGAGGTGATATGTCTCTTTTTTTTAGTGGAAAGGATAGGTGCTGATTTTTTCATAGGATTATCCTGTCTTTTCAGTCCTGTAATGTCGATGTTTAGTGACTTGTAAGTAAATCTTTATTTTATTAATGAGACATGTATTACTATGAAAAAAAAAAGACGGGAGCTTGTTTTTTTTCTTGACTGGGGCAGGAGACGGAGCTTTGGTTGTGCGTTACGACTTTCCCCGAGCGTCCGAGCCTTCGACTTCGAGCTCCTAAAACCTTTTCCTCCCCACGCCGCCCCAAATCCTCCCCGCCGTGCCCCTCCCCCAAAACCCTAGCTCCTCCTCGCCGACGATGCCGGGCATGCCGGCCGACAGCGGGAGCGCCATAGTCCCATTCTCGGGGGAACCAAAGCACGCGGCGTCGGCACCGCCCGTGCGTCCCATCCGCCACGGCGTGCCGCCGCCCATCTCCCGCGTCTACATCTCCTGGTCAAGCGGCAACCTCCTGCAGGTCGCCTGCCTCCGACCTCCGAGTCCGGAGGAAGGTGCCGGCCGCGGCGGGGAGGAGGTTGGTGGGAGGGTGGTGGAAGTGAACCTCGGCGTCGGCGCTGGCAATGGCAGCACGGAGGTCGAGGAGGAGGTCGATGAGGCGGAGATGCGGCGGATCGAGTACGGTTCGGTACCGGCCTTCGCGCTGCTGCAGAGCAGGAAGAACGCCCTCGCAGAAGCTGCTGCTATGCAGCACATGCACTCAGTCTCAGAGCACGCAGAATGGTGAGCATTTTGGTTTACATGTGTTCGCTGCTTAATGCATTTTGGTTTTGATTAGGGATTGATTTGAGTACAAATTGTAACAGTGAGCTCTATTTCACATTTCTTACGGTTCAGAGGTCCAAATTGCGCGAGTTTGTTTCACAACTTATGCTTATATAGGAAATGGGCATTACATGTCTATTCAAAATCTTTAACTTTCGCAACCTATGTTACAATTGTAATGACTTTGGCAGCTATCCATGTGCTATAGAAGCCATAGTTGTACCTCTCAGACGTCCATTCTGAATTCTGATGCATATATTCATCATGCCTGCAAAAATAGACCTTACTGGGCAGTCGTATCACAGGAAGAACCTTACCAGTTACTGTAAAATCTGCTCTTGTTCTTATTGATTTTTTTATTAGGTGGCAATATGTGCTCGAATACAGCAAAACCATCGGTAATCTTCTTGGCAACCAAGATTCTCTTCCTGCTCTCATGATTGAAGATCCGAGGGCAATTCTTAAGGTGACCGTCTATATGTGTTACAAATTTACAATGCTTTCTTATCATTTAAGTTCACTTATATTTTTATTGTTTCCAGTAAGGAGTAACTGCTATAATTCAATTTTTGTTTCCAGTAAGGAGTAACTGCTATAATTTAATTTACAGGTTAGAGAGAAGCCTACTAGTTTAAAGGCTGCCTGGGAATTGTTAGAAATATTCTATGTTGACAAAGAGTTACACAGCTGGCTTCTGGAGCGACTCGTTGATTGGTTAGCTGTAATGCTCTTTCTGTCAACAATTGCCTTGTTATATCTTATTAAGTCCTATTTACTGTCAGAATGCCTGGGCTTATATCTCTCTTATTATTCCTCTTGGTATTATTAGGATTATGACAGCCTCTTGACCAAGACGGATGGCACGGTGTACTGCAAGCTCAACAATTTCCAGAAAAAGCTAATCAACCTGCAGGTTGATTCTTCTATTCTTTATGATAGCATATAGGGGCCAGTCTGGTATACAAACTTTAATAACTGACCGCACTGTTGACTTGATGCTCTGTTGTATTTTATCTATTTACTTCTGTTATTAATATGTATTACTTCCATGGTCCAACCCTTGTACCTTAATATTGGTGAGAGTGAACTTATAATAAGAGGTATTTTTGTAGATTGTTGAAAATGATGATGATTACTGGAATGGATTATCGGCAGCACTGTCAGTTGGATGGCTTGATGTCGTGGTATGTCTGTATGTTTTGCACGTTTTTCATAGGTTTATACTCTTGTGTGTAGCTTACCATCTGAAGTTTTTCTTGCAGGTGAATATGCTACGTTTTCATGGATCATACCAATTGGATCAGATGGACAACCGTGAGGTACTTAGGTTGTTGCTACTTTCAGGCCATTCATGATTTCTTTGTCACTTTGTCAGTGATGTTGATCTTGCAAATAAAATATGATTCTGGTTTGAATTAAGGGCCTAGATCATCGATAATTATATTGCCCTATTTGCCTTATCCTTTTACCAAATTAGAATTTAAAACTACCCAGATTTTCAAATGCAGAATTGCAATGAAAAATGCACACTCAGTTTGTCCCTTTTTTCTGTGAAGTTCATGTGGTTCAGCTATTGCAGCAAGTGCAGTTATGTTATATTGTTGGCCGTATACATTTAAAAGTTTAATCCTATTTAAAATATTTAACAGTAGCCTAGAAA